CAACAAGATTATGATGGTTCATCACTCGAACACCATTCGTCGAGCTGGAGCTTACAACGGACTGTCATCAGATATGATACAACACGTAACGTTGGTCATGGGTTGGCCTCTCCTCTTACTTTTATTCAGCTTTGTCATAAATAATCTTTTGAAGACGAGGTTTGCATCGTTTGAAATCATAGGGTGGATCTTTTGATGAAATTTAGGACTCGCATTTCGTTCTATTTGAGACCCGTCAACTGGTTGAACGTAAACCTCAGAGTTGATATTCACTCTAGGACTCGGACCCAGTACCGTTCGCTTCAAATACCATCGTGTACCAGTGTGAACATCAACTCTGAGATGCAAGTACACTCAGCTAACGAGTTTCGAATAGGACAAAACGTGCGTCCTGGATTTCACTGCTAGCCACTATCCATCATGCTTATAATGCTTGTGAATCAAGGCAATATCGATGCAATACCCACAGTATGCAGATATGGCAATAAGAAACTGATCAATTGCAGTCCTAAACATCAATGGGAATATTCAAGTAAACAATACCAGATGAATTTTTAATTGTTATATTATTTGAATTTTTCAATAGCAAACCATATGGAAAATGATTACATTTACAATATTTATTAATAATTTTGAAATCTCCCAAAACGTTACGTAAAAAATCACAGAATTCATTCGAACTGACATTCCATAAACAATGAACTGAGGTATAGGAATCACTAATCTTTAACTAACCTGCATTAGTTGTGGTAATACTAAATTGTGATAATAAGCTTTCATGGCATTTGTCATATGTAGTTGAAGAACATAAGAATTATGAGCATTGAGCAAGTCTTTTATAGCTTTAGTTTGTAGTATTTCACGGTGAATTCTATACATCTCTGCGTAATTACTTTGTAACTAGAAATACCCAAAATAAAATACAATTTATTTCACCTAACAAAAGTAATTGACGTAAGTTAATATTTATAGATTAACGTTCCTTAAGTAGAGTTTTATGTACTTACCATTGATTGACATTGTTTATTTGAAGATTGATGATACTGTCAGGGCGTGAGAAATAAAGTCAGTGAAGATCGGTTTGATCTGATGACATTATGGCTGAAAGGGGACTATTAAGCCACCAATCCACTAGGTAGTAGGCTTTTAATAACATAATTTTGTAGACAGACTTTTTTGACTAAACATTGATAAACTGCTTTACTAAAACTTAAGAATTTATAGCAGTTTTTAACCATGGTCTAATGCGGCTATAAATCTTGGAACTACAATTCCTAAATGACACTCAACCAGTTTTCAGAAGACCATAATTACACGTCAGTTAGAATTTAAAAAGCTCACTTTAGTTGGCATCTTCAAAAGTAATTAATGTTTATGCCCTCAATATCACAATGTTTCCTGCAGTCTACTTGCAAGTGATATTTCTTTGCAAACAGCGATTTCAGAACAACTAACTTACAACCAGAGAAAAAATATTAGCCGTTCACTTTCACTGAATTTTGTCTACTGTGTTGTGCATAAAAGAGACTGAGTTGAAAATCTATAAAACCTACTCATTATGTTACATTAATAAAATAGTTCACCATGTAACATACAATCAGCATTTATGCCGACTTGTTCAGGCAAAAATAATGATAATTATTAACTTTAAAGCGCTTTACAGAAACAGACTTCGTCATTTAAAGTGTGAATTTAACTTAACATGATCTAATCATGTTGTATGAGGATTGTTACATGAAAGTTACATGACCTCCATCCTATATGACACAATATATCCAAACACTATCATTTTCGCCATTATATTCATATCTCTGATGTATAGTAAACTGAAAAAAAAATTAATTTCATGATATGTAATTTCCTTCACATATTAATTATCATTCATATTGATATCAACGATAAAGTTTTTGATTCACATAGGATTTCTATTGATTGTCGACCTATACTTATCAGTATTGTTTATAAGACTTGTTTATTCATTTGTAAATAAATTTTAAAGCTCACCTCATTAACCTTTTCAGCACATTCCTTAAGAGTGTAATCTGTTGATGTACGAAAAGCTTTCAAACGAGAAATCTGTTGTCTTCTGTGCTTCACAATACACTGTAATGGAGTCACAACTTTTGCTTTAGTCTCTTGAATTACATTTTCATGAAGCTGAAATAACAATATATCAGGTTAAATAATTTGGCTGAAAACTTTATAAATGACTTATGTCTCTAAAGAATCGATAGTGCGATCAATTTTAATCTTGACCTCACCCTTTCTTTCTTACTTAGCATACTTTTTATCCAGTGAAAAATAAGTGGCTATATTGTTTTCTGCTACCTAGTAAACAAATGAATATATCAAATAATATATTATAATTGTATGTCCGGCTAAGATAAACTAACAAAAGACAATGGATTTATTAAATTCATCTCACAAGTGGTAGGAATCCATGAGGTTCTAGTACGAATTTGTATTTGATAGGGTTTGTTCTGTATTGCCAATTAAATAGTTACTCGCCAGTGTTCTGTCACACAATAATTATTTTTAAAAGCATTAGTGTTTGATGAATAGATTTAATTGTGGATTATACTATCCTTCAGACCCTTTCTAAGACATGTTGAAGTGAAAAAGGTTGGTTTCGGATAGTTTTCTTGAAGTTAGGAATAAAATTAAGAATCAACAAATAGCAATATTTATTTGATCCAAAAATCTTTAACAAGTTTGGAATGTTGAAAATCAGAAATGTTGTAATAACCATTATTTCTAATTAACTCTAAACATATAATTAAGAAGTAAACTGGTAATATGATTACTTATTATTTTCAGAGTAATCACAACACAATCCATTTACAGCTAGCGCAAGAATTTATTAAGAACCTTTACAAAACATTATAGTTATATTATATCCCCGTGTTCATTGGTGTTCGGATTTGACATGGATTTTATGAAGCTATGAAAAAGAAACTGTAACCAGTGGAATAAATTAAGTCATGAGCGGTTCCATAACTCATTTAGGACATTGAATGACAGGTTAACTTTATTGTGACTGAACTGAACTTCATAATGTCAACCACTATATTCATCTGTAATGGTTTAAAGATACTGTCTCTCATGCTTAAGATCTAAAAATTCTCTAACTAATACCTTTATTGACCTATATATTCAAAAGCCCATCATGTATGAAAGACGTAAACCCTCAGAAACGCTCAGATATTCAGGATAAGTGATGAATATATTGTATTTTGATTCACCACACCTATCCTGATTGAATAGTAAACAGAACGTCGATACACAAAGTGTTCATATCTTAATACTTTAAGTGTTCAATCCTGTCCACTTAATAATTCATTGACTAATAATTCCCTTAAAATGTTAATTTTTATGAAACTACAACTTACCTCAGCTTCATTTTGAAACTTCTCAATAAATACATGCCAAAAATTATAAAGAATTTCATTGTTATTATTAATGTCACTGTCTTTCCTGTTGATTTAAAAAAACGGAAAATAAATAAACCTTTGAGTATAGTAAATTTGACGTCCATATCAGTTAGCTAGTAGGAAGTTAATTTCAATACTACAGAGCATCAGTGCAAATAATGTTTTGTCATATAAAAAGTAATGAACTTGATGGGATTGTCATCTATTCATCTAACTCCACCTGTAGCTCTTCCAGAGTCAATGCCGGTTCCAAGGACTGGTAGAGGAGTAGGGTTGGACATGAGGTTAACGACCCCATCCCGCAGAAACTTAACTCGCTAAAAAAACACTAACCAATTACATTTTTTAACAGTGAAAATATGTGTTTATAACATTATTTTGATATGAAATAATAGAAAGTTTACTCCTAACTATCAGAAAGCATGTGTAACAGTAAATGCAACAAAACATGTGAAAAACTATTATCACAAGGTATATTACGTTAAAATTGCCCAATTTTTTCCCACTTTCCTTTAGTACAACTGAAAAACCACTTACAATTTAATCAGCACATCATTTTATTACACTTTCAAAACAAAGAATAATGGAGTAACTAGCTCCCACAACACAAACATATGAGATGCAAGTTTTCAAACTTGAACTAAACAATTGGGAATCAAATGCTTTGATCACAGAGTAATCGTTTTTATTGTAAATAGGTTTTTTATCTGGTTTGAAGTTGTTTTTTAAGTGTAATGATGACGTTTATTTGATGGATTTTTTTGTAAACTTTTCTATGTAATAAATGATCATTCAGAAAGACGAAACACCATAAATCGTCTTATAAATCACTATTTTTAAGTAAACTTTTATATTTTCAAACTACTTCAGAAATCTACATTACAATTAACTGAGTAATTACAATTTTTTAATCATCGTACTTCAACAAGAATGAATGTCGACGAATGAAGATTCGTTTCAAACTGTTTCCTGTGAATATTTTTTAATTATTTGTTCGAATCCATTTCTACAATTTCAGGATGACTATGATAATTGTCATGATTTACACTCTTTTAGAAATAAAATCTTATTTTGCGAAGCTCTGCTGTCCTCCAAATATACAAGATTGTCTATTAATATTCTACAGGGCAAATCTATTTATTCTCTTAACCAAGATATTGATAACAATTAAGCCAGTTTATTCATGTGGGCTTCAAAGCAAAACGTTTGAATAAGTAACAGAATATAAAGAATCAGATCTGCTGAAATATCCCTGTCTAATTCATATGTCTAACTCCGCCTGTGACTCTTCTAGAGTTACTACCGGTCCCAACCCGGGTAAAGGAGGAGGGTCGGGTATGGGGTTATGTTGGGACGGTATATTCCCAAAATTCATATTTGTAATTTTATCATATCGATTGACTCATCGATTAAATATTTGGATGGAAGTCACATGATGAACTTATCGACTAAATATTCGAATGCCTGTCGAGTGATGAACTGAATGAGTCATGTTTAAAAATAACATTTTAATATGACAATATCGATTTTATATATTTATATATATATACGTTTAAAATTGTGTCTGAGTGTTCGCTGCTGCTTGCTTGCTTGCTCGCTCGTTTCTGGTTGTATGCAGAACATATTTTCCATACCAAGCCTGGACTTCTCCTTCTAGATAGCGGGGCTGGGACGCGTTAATAGTTAGATTACTGGTCTTTGGTCACTGAGTATTGTTCTCGTTCGCAGTCTAAGTGAACCCGTGAAGCTTCAAACCTAACAATTTGGCGACGGTGATTACGGAAATATGGATCCATCTAAACTTGAATTATTACTCGAGCAGCAGATGAAACTTATTCAAATATTAGCAGATGCAAAGCTTACGTCTAATTCTCAACCAAGCAGTTCTAATCCTATTACTACTGCACCGTCAGTTGATGGTATTGCTAACAGTATCTCCGAGTTTCATTACGATCCAGAATCCAATGTCACGTTTGATATGTGGTTTCGACGTTATGAAGACTTATTCAAATTTGATTTTGCCAACCAGGATGATGCTTGGAAGGTCCGCTTGCTGCTTCGAAAGTTGGGTCCTAGTGAACTAGACAAGTATTGCAATCTAATTCTGCCTTTAAACCCACGCGATCGTTCATTCTCCGACACTGTCCAGTCATTGAGCCAACAATTCGGAGACAACTCCTCACTATTCAATGCGCGCTATCGATGTTTGAAGCTCACTATGAACGAAGATGATGATTTTCTCACACATGTGGGTATTGTCAACCGAGAATGTGAACGTTTCCGATTGAAGTCGCTTACTGAAGATCAATTTAAAGCACTCATTCTCATCTGCAGCCTTCAATCGCAGAAGTTCAGTGACATTAGAACACGTTTGCTTAGTCGATTGGACCAAGACCCAAAACTAACTCTTAATGATATTGCAAATGAATATCAACGTCTAATCAATCTACAGCGTGATACTACAATGGTCCAGCGTGGTGGTTCAAATCGTACCGAAGTTCATGTAGTCCAACAACCACTCAACTCGCATAAATCTGCCCCAGCTACATCTAGTTCAGGTCGACAGACAAAAACAAATCCTCCTGCTCCATGCTGGCACTGCGGTGCATGGCATTTTGTTCGATACTGTCCACATAAGCAACATCGGTGCAGGAAATGTAATGTGGTGGGTCATAAAGATGGTTTTTGTCGAAAAAAGAAGCCGAGCAACTCCAGAGGTACCAGAAAACCTACGCCTAGATCCAACACGAATTCGTTGAGTCTAATAGCAAGCTGTGAGAACTCAACCCCAGTCGAGAGGAAATTTATTACCCTTAGTATTAATGGGCACCCTCTTAGATTGCAAATAGACACTGCATCTGATGTAACGATTCTCTCACGAAAATCTTGGATCAGAATGGGAAGACCACGACTGGTGCCGACAACACAAAAACCGCGAACCGCATGTGGTAATTATCTACGGTTGTTGGGACAACTAGATTGTAAAGTGTCTTTTCATGATTCGACGTTTACCGGGTTATGTTACATCACACCAGCTAATCTTAATCTACTTGGGTTAGACTGGTATGACCAGCTACATTTAGCTGACGTTCCGTTAAGCACCGTATGCCATCTGGTTGAACAACCTCATGAACCTGGAGCATATTCGAAAGAACCAATGACGGAGTTTTCAACCAGCGAACATCATACGTCCGGCGAAGATGCAGTTATTGCCTCCCTATTGACAGAGGACTACGCGCATTGTTACCTGACAACCGCTATTCGTGCTTTGCCAGTCTCAACATCTGAAATACAATCTGCATCCAAGAATGACTCCATCATAAAGAGAGCGATGAAATACGTCACCAATGGCTGGCCGCCAAATGGACTCGATGGTGACTTGAAGCAGCTTTACCACCGTCGGGACTCATTATGTATCGTAGATGAATGCTTGATGTTTGGAGATAGAGTAGTGGTGCCAGAGTCCCTAAGATCAAGGGTGCTAAAGCAATTCCACACTGGTCATCCTGGCATAAAACGAATGAAATCCATCGCTAGAAGCTATGCTTATTGGCCCCTCATGGACCAACATATTGTGGATTTAGTAGGCAAGTGCACACAGTGTCAACAAGCAGCCAAGTGTAACGCAAAATTACTGCCGGTCCCATGGCCACAGCCTAAGTATCCCTGGTCCAGGATACATGTCGATTTCGCAGGCCCAATTAATGGAATCACCTATCTAGTCGTTGTTGACGCCTTTTCAAAATGGCCAGAAATCGTTCCTGTCATACCACCAACGACAACTCAAACGATAAAACTTTTGACAGAGATGTTCTCTCGCAACGGGTTACCGGATATAATCGTTTCCGATAATGGTTTGCAATTCACCTCAAGTCAATTTCAAGAATTTTGCAAACGCCTATCGATCAAGCATTTCCGCTCTCCACCTTACCACCCACAGTCAAATGAACAAGCAGAAAGATTTGTAGATACATTCAAGAGAGCTCTAATGAAGTCGAAAGGGGAGGGGACGACAGTAGAAACACTGCAGAAATTCTTGTTTGTTTACCGAACAACACCTAGTGATATGCTACCACAGCAGAAGTCCCCGGCAGAGATCCTGATGGGAAGGAAATTGAGGACGATCCACAGTCTCATGTGCCCAAGATCCACACCACCACCATCCCATAACAAATCTCAGAAGCTTCCAGCGTACGAGGTTGGATGCCCCGTGTTCGCTCGAGACTACAGAGCAAATCATGGTCCTTGGATCGAAGCACGTGTGATTAGAAGACTAGGTCAAGTTATGTACGAGGTAAAGGTGGGAAGAGACACGTGGACTAGACACCGAAACCAACTACGTAAGCAGATTGCCCCAGACCACCCATCAAATGGAGTAAATCTTCCCCTCGACATCTTGCTTGATACTTTCAACTTACCTGCAGCCACATCACAAGAAGCTCAACAGCAAGCTGATCCCCGTCCCAGAAGGTGGCCTCTCCGTCAGCTGCGAACTACAGTCAAAATGCAAGTCGACCCCAGAAAAGCGCGCTATTAAAAAGGGGAGGAGTGTTGGGACGGTATATTCCCAAAATTCATATTTGTAATTTTATCATATCGATTGACTCATCGATTAAATATTTGGATGGAAGTCACATGATGAACTTATCGACTAAATATTCGAATGCCTGTCGAGTGATGAACTGAATGAGTCATGTTTAAAAATAACATTTTAATATGACAATATCGATTTTATATATTTATATATATATACGTTTAAAATTGTGTCTGAGCGTTCACTACTGTTCGCTGCTGCTTGCTTGCTTGCTCGCTCGTTTTCTGGTTGTATGCAGAATATATTTTCCATACCAAGCCTGGACTTCTCCTTCTAGTTAGCGGGGCTGGGACGCGTCAATAGTTAGATTACTGGTCTTTGGTCACTGAGTATAGTTCTCGTTCGCAGTCTAAGTGAACCCGTGAAGCTTCAAACCTAACAGGTTAGCGTCCCCATCCCGTAGAAAACAAACTTGCTAAAAAACGCTTACCAGAAAAAGCAATCCAAACCATTTAAACTCTGCCCTTGGAGTTAGAAGGTCTTCATTTAAAAGAATTATGACGCTTCATGATGAAAGCCGAGTTCCTTTGGAAGCCACGAGGCAGATGCCCCTTCTAACAACCAGAGCAAACATTTTTATAGGTACATGGAACGTCCGAACAATGTGGGAGACCGGAAAGACCAGTCAAATAACAAAGGAAATAAGGAGATACAACTTAGCAGTACTGGGAATCAGCGAAACCCATTGGACTCAAGCTGGACAATAAAAGCTAAATACGGGAGAGATGATACTATACTCCGATCATAAAGAGGAAAATGCTCCACATACTCAGGGAGTTGCACTAATGCTGTCCAAAGTAGTACGAAATGCACTTGAAGGATGGAAATCTCACGGATCCAGAATCATCAAAGTATCATTCAAAACAGAGAAGGAGGGGATCTTAATAAATATTGTCCAATGTTATGCACCCACAAATGATAGCAACGACGACATTAAAGATCAGTTCTACGAGCGGCTGCAGTCAATCATAGAGAAGTGCCCAAGAAAGGATCTCACCATTCTGATGGGAGATCTAAATGCCAAAGTCGGAATAGACAACACCGGATATGAAGATATCATGGGACGACATGGACTGGGACAGAGAAACGAGAATGGAGAAAGATTTGCAAATCTGTGTGCATTGAACAAATTAGTCATAGGAGGCACAATATTTCCACACAAACGTATACACAAAGCTACATGGATCTCACCGGACTACACTACAGAGAACCAGATAGATCATATCTGCATCAATAAAAAATTCCGAAGGACAATGAAAGATGTGAGAAGCAGGAGAGGAGCTGATATAGCTTTAGATCACCACCTAGTTGTGGCCAATTTAAAACTGAAGCTAAAGAAAAACTGGACAACTGGACAAACAGCAATACAAAGGTTCAATACAGCCTTCCTTCGAGATACTGACAGACTCAATGATAGCTCTCAACAACAGGTTCCAAGCCTTACAAGATCTACTGAAAAAAGAAGAAACTAGTATGGAGGACAACTGGAAAGGCATCAAGGAAGCATTAACTTCAACGTGTCAAGAGGTTCTGGGTCTAAAGAAATACCATCATAAGGAATGGATCTCTACAGAAACACTGGACAAGATCAAAGAAAGGAAGAACAAGAAGGCGGCAATAAACAACAGCCGAACACGAGCAGAGAAAGTCCAAGCACAAGCTGAATACATAGAAGCAAACAAACAAGTGAAGAAAAGCATTAAAGCCAACAAGAAGAAATACGTAGAAGAACTAGCAACGACGGCGGAAAAAGCTGCAAGGGAAGGAAATATGAAACAACTTTACGATACAACGAAGAAACTAGCAGGGAAATACAGTAAGCCAGAGAGACCGGTCAAAGACAAAGAAGGCAAGTCAATCACTGAAATTCAACAACAGTGGGACGGATGGGTAGAGTACTTCGAGAAACCCCTGAATAAACCGACTCTAGTGAATCCACCGGACATCAAAGCAGCATACACAGATCTTCCTGTAGATGTCAATCCACCAAAGTCGGGAGAAATCAGAATGGCAATCAGACAAATCAAGAGCGGGAAGGCAGCAGGACCCGACAACATACCAGCTGAAGCACTGAAGTCAGACATTGAATTAAATACAAACATGCTTCACCTTCTATTCAGAAAGATTTGGGAGGAGAAACAAGTGCCGATGGACTGGAAAGAAGGATACCTCAACAAGATCCCAAAGTGAGGAGATCTGAGCAAATGTGAGAACTACAGAGGCGTCATACAACTGTCAATACCAAGGAAAGTCTTTAACAGAGTGTTGCTGAACCGGATGAAAGATGCAGTAGACGCCCAACTTCGAGATCGACAAGTTGGATTCCGTAAGGATCGGTCGTGGACAGACCGAATTGCGACACTACGGATCATCATCGAAAAATCAGTTGAGTGGAACTTTTCAATGTACATCAACTTCATTGATTATGAAAAGGCATTTGACAGTGTAGATAGGAGGACATTATGGAAACTTCTTCGACACCATGGAGTTCCTGAGAAGATTGTCAATATTATCCGAAACTCATACGACGGACTACAGTGCAAGGTCGTGCATGGAGGACAGCTGACAGATGCATTCCAAGTAAGGACCGGAGTCAGACAAGGCTGTTTACTCTCTCCCTTCCCCTTTCTTCTGGTGGTCGACTGGATTATGAAGACCTCGACATCTGAAGGAAAACACGGGTTACAATGGACAGCTCAGAATCAATTAGACGAGTTGGACTTCGCAGATGACCTGGCCCTCCTATCGCATACACATGAACAAATGCAGGTAAAGACAGACAGTTTAGCAGCAGTCTCTGCATCAGTAAGCCTCAACATACGCAAGGGGAAAACCAAGGTCCTCGAATTCAAAGCGAAGAACAGCAATCCAAACACTCTTGACAGAGAAACTCTGGAAGGTGTAGAATCTTTCACGTGCCTGGGAAGCATCATCGATTAACAAGGAGGTTCAGATGCAGATGTAAAGGCGAGGATTGGTAAAGCAAGGGTCACAATCCTACATTTGGAGAACATATGGAACCCAAAACAACTGCAAACCAATATCAAAGTGAGAATCTTCAATACGAATATCAAGGCAGTTCTACTGTACGGAGCTGAAACTTCGAGAACTACAACAACCATCATCAAGAAGGTGCAAGTATTTATAAATAGCTGTCTACGCAAGATATTCAACATCCATTGGCCGGATACCATCAGCAACAACCTTTTGTGGGAGAGAACAAACCAGCTTCCAGCTGAAGAGGAAATTAAGAAAAGACTGTGGAAATGGATAGAACATACATTACGCAAATCATCAAACTGCATCATGAGACAAGCCCTAACATGGACTCCTGAAGAAATGTGAAAAAGAGGAAGGCCAAAGAACACATTACGTCGGGAAATAGAAGCAGATTTGAAAAGGATGAATAACAACTGGAAGGAGCTGGAAAGGATTGCCCGGGACAGGGTTGGATGGCGAATGCTGGTGAGCGGCCTATGCTTCTTCACGAGTAGTAACAGGCGTAAGTAAGTAATTCATATGTCTACATGATAATCTGCCCGATAAAATAATCAAGAGATAATCTGCTCACATGTTTACTTTTCTATGGATATTATAAGGAAACGATAATTAACCAGAAACTGTTGACTAGATCAATTAAGGAAAGAAACAAATAACACTGACCCTAAAAATAAAAACGCATCATGCAATACCAGGCTAGATTCGTGATGTGAATGATTTTTTTCTAACATATGTCAAAGGATAAAATTCCTTGATTTCTAGAAATTCAATGAAACTCACCATCATAATCCTTAGTCGATTTTTAACAATACATATGATGTAACAACTTGTGAATCTTTCTGTACTCACTTTCTTTATATTATATATTTAATTATCACCCCTTTCACTTTCACACAAAACCTCTTAGGATATAAGTGTGTAAGTCATATTATCTAAAATATGCATTTAGCGTACGCATCAAACTATTCAGGTTATCTCAGTTTTTTTAGTATGTTAATCTATGTTTACAAACGACACTAATTGGTTCGATGTTTTTAATATAATATACTAAGTTATAGAAATAATGTTAATACCAATCTGGATAAGCAAACACAACGAAATACAAACCCAAAAATATTCTATAATTGAATAGTTAGTTGATATTATATTATCTCATATGTTACCATTTAGTTACCAAAATATTAAAATATCCACAGCATTCAATTTATATGAATTGACACTGACAAATAATTACTAAAACGCTTTATACTCTCTATTGTAAAGCTAACTTTTGGTTTAGAAATTCAGCCAAAGTAAGGATATATAATCTAACAAATCATTATGTTCGAATTTATGTATATTAGACAAAGTAAACAAGTTGAATAGTTTAATCGAATAAACTGCTCATATTCTTTAGCATACATTCTGTTAACTTATATTTGCCATGCAATAACAAAATCCCGAAATGAATTGTTGAATGTTTCTTACAGTTAATAATATTTTTTTGTGCAAATAAGCTTGTTCAATTGACAGAGTAAGATTCTTTTTCTCTACAGTTTATTGGTTACTCAAAAGAGCTCATCTACTTGAACATAGTTTAAATAAAAATAACTCAACCTCAGATATAACAATCTACAGCAATATTAACGTAAATCACCTTTATACAAACACATACAAATTAATATCAAAAATGGCTCCATTTTACAAGATCTAAGGTTCATTATTCTTATACCCTTTAGAATACTTTGTATTCATGACGAACACTTGTCCTGTCTAAGGTTCTATTTTGCTTGAAACATTCGTGTAGATCCTTAGAAGTGAATGTCTTCAGAAGATTTATTGTCTCCCGAATTTTCTTAAATCTAATTCCTCAGCAATTACTAGAGGAATCCTTGGTGAGAAAGAACTTGAAACTGAACATATTATATACTTTGTCATCGGAGATTGACTGTCAACCCGACCTTAAATCACCCATAATGTTTTCATAGCTCTCAATGAAATGGGTAGTTCACTTAAAGAAGCTGTTAACTTTGTTACGTTATTTCTATAAATAAATCTAAGCTTTTTATGAGCATCCTGATCATGTTATTCAAGTTATTTATTGAACGTAGTTTATTAACGCAGTTTGAACACATCAAGACGTTATTTCAAACATTTGTCATCATCTCAGTCAAAATCATCAGCGTTTTTTTTTGGTTTTTTTTCTATTTTTCAAAATGCAAAAAAATATTACTTTAAGAGTTAAGGGAAAATTGTTTTACTGTGACGAATATTTTTCGTCTTAGATACAAACAATAAAAATTACGTTTAACCAAGTAACTTACTTTATACTTTCAACTTTCTCTACACTTTCTTTAAATGATTGACATACATTTCTTATGGCTATTGAATAAGACTGTCTAGCATCAGTCATTTGTTCAATAACTGAAACAACTAGATAATTTATAGTAAATAAATAAATAAAACGATAAGAATTCATTAACATTAATGATAAGTAATGTAATATTTGAATTGATTTTTTCATTGAGAACATCAAAATCTAAATTATTTATTATATAAAAAATATTTGATTTCAATAGTGGAGATCATGAGTTAATTGAAGCTAGACTACCATAGAAAACGTGGAAGCAATGAACGGCCGTTTCGTTCTATTGTGGGGCTCCTCAGCAGTGCTCATCCACGATCTTGATCATTGAAATTTATTAAACAAGACGCACTAAAACCAATATTTTTTTAGAATATATGGTCGATATACAATAAACTATCACTAAATAGTTATTGTTGTCTTTATTATTGAATATTTAGTGTTAACTGATCAGTTAGTGTGACTGAGCATCCAAACACATTTCAATTTTGGAAAACTTTTAGAAAGTTGGCTAATACGATTATTTCCCCGTGAAAGAATTTACAAAGATGTGATATCGAACAATGAAGTTTGGGAGAAAGGTTTTTTTGAAATAGTAATTAGAAATGAAATGTATTCGAAATACGAGATAGACTAAAGTTGATGAAATGTTTTGACATTTGCATATTCATTTCAGATTATATTTGTTTCTAATTTACTTATAATGTTAGGCATATATAAAGAAAATTTTTACACCCTACAGATTTCAAAAATATTTTAAATTATTTATTCATATAACTTACGAATTACACGTAAACACTTGAAATGGTTATTCTCTTCAAGTCAAAAGTTGATCGATCTGTCGTTAAATCAACACTAACTTAGCGCCGGTCATTTTATAATCAATTTTCATGTCTATATATTACTCAAGTAGTTAAAACATTGACAATGATATATCTGATAGTAATATAGAATTCAACAAGTTCATTGATAAATAACTCTCACTAAACTTCTAACTAAAATAATCCAAAATGGTACTTGAAAACAGTGAATTATCATATGGTATCATGTCATATTAACTTAAATCATCAGTGGATGTTTTTAAATGCAGACATGAAATTCTGTATGCTATTGAGTTTTAAAGATAAAAAACTTTTCGACCACAATTTCAACTCATGTTTTAATTATATCTATAGTAGCACAACAAACTGTATTTGAGTACCAATATGATATATCAAGTAAGTGAAAAAAAATACCTGAAATACATTATTAATGTAATATTCATGTCACAGTTTCCATGCATCTTTCAATCGCTAAAAATACACACAATAATTTTCTATTCATAATAGCGTTGATAGGATAAAATGCCTAGTTTTAGCCACAT